CCTCTAGTAATATATTTACTGAGGAAAAATGGTGACATGTTCAATACTTATTTTACTCGCTGGATGTACAACTAACTTTTAGATATATTTTCAGAGTTGTCTACAAAGTGGAATAATTTCTGTAACAGGGATCAGGACAGTAAATCTGAAAATGCAAATAAAAGATGAGAAAGTCAGTGTTTATTGACCAAAGTCATAAATATTTAATTATGTAGTATTTGCAACATGACAGTTATAACAAGTATATTGATTAGGATGAACAGAAATACTGTTTTTGATTGTTTATTACAAAATGCACCTGATTATTACACCACCACATTTTGTAATAATTGCAGCAAAACGTAAAAACGTTATTACATAATGCACCTGATTACTACACCACCACATTTTGTAATAATTGCGGCAAAACGTAATAATGTTATTACATAATGCACCTGATTATTACACCACCACATTTTGTAAAAATTGCGGCAAAACGTAATAACGTTATTACATAATGCGTTAAAGACTTTTATTAGATTTTGTGTTAGTTATTACATAATGCAGTTTTAGTGCGAGTTTATTACATTTTGAAGCCTGATTTTATTACATTACTACTTTTACCTTTTAAATTTATTTAATTTTTTTAATATGCTGTAGGAATGTTTGTTTAGAGCTTAGAAAACATGATAAACATAAGGGTTTTCAGGCTCCAGAGTTGCCACTGCTGGTAGTAATAATATTTTTTGAATGACTATTCTCCCTGTCTCCCAGGTGTCGAGGCACCAGGAGGCTGCTGTCGTGGGTGAGCTCAGTAATCTTTAAATGCTGAATCAATGTTGAAAGCGAGGGCACGTATTGAAAAAAATTTAGGGGGCCATATTGTGGCGCATGTCAAAGGTCTTAGCTGACAGACGGATGGGATGAGAAAATAATGGGGCTAACCAGGGGGCAGGAGATGAGAGTGGAGTGGAAGCTCCCAGCATGGCATCTAAACGGTGGATCAGGGTCTGAGCTGGACTCCCTGCACACTGGCTGCCCACAACAGCACGGGTCAAAGCTCTTTGGTTCTGGGTCCTACATTCGACAAAGGGCAGCGTGCAGTGGGCAGGGCTGCGTTCCTTAGAACAGCAGGAAAACCCTTGTAATGGCATTTTTATGTGTTTTGTGAAAAGCTGTGTCAGCTTTTGAGTGCTGATGTATGTGTTTATTTGTGTTAATGTGGGTTTGCATTGGGGAATCTCCATCATCAGACACTATTTTTACTAGTTTGCTGTTACGTCTTTGAGTACAAATCCTAATATTTTAATATTGTTCATTTTATGAACATAAAACATACAGTAAATGCCGTTTAGTTTATTTGATTTAATCTCATCACGAGACGATATTTTTTAAGTAATAAAAAACTGTTTTCAGAACTTGTCCAAAACAGAATACATGAAGTCAACCAGCTGCTGTTATGCCTCTGAGCTGCCAAATGATGTAACAGAGCCACATTCATCTGAGGTTTGTTTTTAACGTGTATTTTTCCCCCCTAAATGATATTTGCTCATTTGGATGGATAATGGGAATAAAAAATGGCCAAATACTCAATACATAATATCCATATCGTCTTTGTGTTCTTATTCATTTCCTTTTTATGCTGCTCATTGATCCAAAAAGCTCAAGATTGCAAAATACATTTTTCAAAATCAAAGCAGTTGCCATCATTTCTCAGTTTGCAGGAAGCAAAACTGTATCATTAGATTTTCCACTGGTTTCCTCTGTAGGTACAAAAAAGCAGGAGTGTTGTAGATGGCCTTCTTTTTATCTTTGATGTGCAATCTTATTACAAAAAACACGTTAGTTGTGTTTGAAAAGTTGTACACAAAAAGACAATATGTACCTTGTCTGTTAAAGTTTAATGCCAAGTATTCCTGACAAAAAGGCAATACTTGATATGTTTATGAGACTCAACTAAAATTCAACAGTATTCTTTGCACATATTACAAAAATGAAATTAAATAAAAACAGATTGCAGCAATCGTTGGTTGATTTTACCAGATATTATACTTTCCTAATATTTACAATTAAACTGGATTTTTCTTTAATATAAAATAAGAGAGAGGTAAAAATCTGGAAAATAATCAGCTTAAAATCCAGCTTCCTTTCTGCCAACATTTGACACAGAAATACTCCGAACTTTCCAGCCTTCCTCTCGGACAATGCATTTTCTTGCTGTGTCTTAGCAACTGGCCTTGTGGCATCTGGATTATCCCAAAGTGCTCTGCAGAGCCCCCCACAGGGCTGAAGAGAAGGTGATCTGAGGCAGAGTCTGCTTTATGAAGACAGATGTAAAAGAGAGGTCCTGATCTCAGATTGTCCAAAGAAGCTTTACRCATGTCACAAGTTGGGCTCAGAGGGTTACTTCTTACTCAGAATCCTGAYATAATTAACCCTTATCCTTTTTGTCAGTTAAAAACTGTTGTTTTATGTCTTCAAAAAAAATAGCAGCATTTTCATTTGCATGACTCAGCAGAAATGGAAAAATACTTGTGTTGGGGGCAGCCTGTTGTGTCATGACTGCATGTGTTTTGTGTGTGACCAAAGAAAGCAGCCACTTCTCTTTACCTGTTCACATTCCTCCTGTTAATATTACACCAGGAGCATATTTAGCAGCATTTTCCTGCATTACAAATCTGTARGAGGGGAGCCTCGAGCCCAAGACACACTCTAGATAATGAGCTTTGATTGCACATGCAGATAGAGGCCTTTTCAGAACACACACTCTGCTCAGCTCTGATTTGTGGAATTGATAGGGCCCATTGTTTCCAYAAAGCTTGCCACTATACGCCCTCTAATGTAATTAAGGCAAAAAGACTTATGCTGCTGTACGGCGGCCCAGAACCTGATCCGTGTTGTGTCTGGAGTCTGGCTGAAAAGCTGCCTTTTTGTCCAGCTGCTCTGGTCTCTGTCACTGTGTGGGACTACAGACCAAACCTCCACCAAACTGGAAGATTTGGTCCGTTGCAGTGTCTCATCTGTCCACATGTAGAAGAAACAGGGTTGAAGATCATCTTTTAGAACATTTGTAGAAAACTAACAGGAGGTTCACGTTTTATGCCAAACCTGCGCCTTACTTTTTGCTGAGAAAACGAGCTTGAGAGGCTTGAACTAGTTTAGCTGGGTGGTAATTATTAACGTCGGCTCCTTAAATAGGCTGCATGTTTTTAGCCTCCCACAGAGAGGAATTTGTCCGCTCCTTGTTGCAGGACAGCTATGAAGTGGAAAGCCAGATTTAAAACTTTCAGTTAGTTTTGGAGGTGAATGTTTAGATTTTAAAGGGAGAGAATGTGACAAACAGCAATAAGTTCTTAGAAATGACTTTTGTTAAGAGAAGAGGCGCTCTGGAGCCTCACTGGGAGAACAGAGCATCTGGAAATCAGGATTTTAAGCTTCCTAGAAGGCTTCCGACGTTACCGAGACATCCCATCAGGATGAACACCTGGCCGCCTGACGGCGCTGACTCTGGACACCACAGGCTGCACAGGGTGAGTCCCTCCATGCCCACCCAGCTCTTCCAAAATCCACAGTTGAGTGGCCCRCTGCCGCCACCTCCCTCAACTCCCAATATCCCAAATAAAAGACACGTCAAACGCTGCTGAATGAGCCCCATGTAGAGAACATGAGAGAGAAGATCCGTAAGACCGAGAGCATCTGTCCACCTCTCTGACACTAATGAATGTTAAGCAGGTTAGCGGCTGGTGTGCCAGTGTCCCACAGGTCATTGTGACCGGCGGTGGCAGCAGAGCTGTGCTTTTGTCAGGGTGCGCCAGCCCCCTGTGAGACATCTAAAAATGGCTGCACTGCTTTCTCCTGCACACAATCCCAGCACCAATAGTCGCCATATTGATCCTTCTTGCTCGCAGATTAAAGCATAAAAGGAGCTCTGTCTTATCAGYGGGGTTCCTCACTGACTCCCAGAGCTCATTTCAGGGTCATAGAGTCCTTGCAGTCCCCTGACCTGGACCCCAACATAAAAACAAAAACACTGATGTAAAGGACAGATCCTTTTTCCAGGCATGAACTCCTCCAAACAGGATTGGTAGGATGCTCACATTCATGGCTCATTATAGCTGACCCCACGCTTTTTTTCTCTTCTAGTCTTTTCTTCTGTTTCTGGTTATATCCTGGCCCAAGCCATACTGAGGTGGTCTTCCTTTCCTTTTGTTTCTCTTGAAACTCAGCCGTTCATGTCTTCTTATACACTTTTTTGTGTTGCATTGTTTCTGCCTTGAAGTGTTATCAGTAATGCAAAGACTTGGTTACAATTTTTTTTGTTTATCAACAGTTCAGAAGTACACTGTTTTTGTCACTTAAAGGGATCATCTCACTGTCATAAATCAGCTAACCCAATATGCATAAATTAAGCTTCCTGAAGACAAACATCTCATCCTGGATTAAAAAACTTACATTATCTATAAATGTAAAAATGATCAAAGGCCATTTTCTACAAACATGTGTATGCTTTGTAATTCATTCTGCAGACAGCTTAGTTGAAAGTTATATGTTATGCACCATCCATCCATCCACCCACCCATGCACCTATCCATCCATTCATCCATCCATCCATCCATCCACCCACCCATGCACCTATCCATCCATTCATCCATCCATCCATCCATCCATCCATCCATCCACCCACCCATGCACCTATCCATCCATCCATCCATCCATCCATCCACCCATACACCTATCCATCCATCCATCCATCCACACATACACCTATCCATCCATCCATCCATCCATCCATCCACCCACCCATACACCTATCCATCCATCCATCATCATGTTCAATGATCCACCTATCCATCCATACATCCATCATCCATCATCCATCCATCCATCCATCCATTCACCCACCCATACACCTATCCATCCATCCATCCATCCATCCATCCATCCATCCATCCATCCATCCACCCACCCATACACCTATTCATCCATCCGTCATCATATTCAATGATCCACCTATCCATCCATACATCCATCATCCATCCATCCTTCCATCCATCCATTCAGCCACCCACCCATACACCTATCCATCCATCCATCCATCCATCTATCATCCATCCATCTATCCATCCATTCACCCACCCATACACCCATCTATCCATCCATCTATATTCAATGATCCACCTATCCATCCATACATCCATCATCCATCCATCCATCCATCCATCCATCCATCCATCCACTCATCCATTCATCCATTCATGTCAGCTTGTACTGAATCTCTGTAAAATACACAGATTTTCCCCCATTTTGCAGGTATACGGACATAGAGAGAAATCTTAGATTTTTTTCAAAAAGTCAGCTTCCAATTTATTCTACGTCTCAGAACCTGAAGGACATAAAAAAGTAAATAAATAAATAAAATTAGATTACCATCTCCTCTAGAAATCTATTATCTGTCTCTAGAGTCTCAGGGGCAGCACCTTCAGCAGGGAAGCCCAGACCACTCTTTCCCCAGCCACCTCTTCCAGCTCATCTGGGAGGACTCCAAGGCTTTTCCAGGCCAGCCGAGAGTGTGTCCTGGGTCTTCCCCTGCAGAGAAAACTCATTTTGAACGACTGTATTTGCGGTCTTCTTCTTACAATCACTACCCAAAAGTTTGTGACCATAGGTGAGGGTAGGACTGTATCAGCTCCCTCTTCACTAAAACAGACGGGTAAAGAGTCTACGATAATGCAGAAACAGCACACTCCATTCTTTCTTGATTCATGAACAAAACCTCAAGGTACTTAAACTCCTGCACCTGAAACAGAACCTCACCCCAAACCCGGAGTGAGCAATCCACCTTTGTCTGACTGAGGACCATGGACTCAGATTTTTTATACACCATTAGGCTTAAATACTTGTGTTTTATCCTGATAGTCTTACACCTGCTATTGTACCAATCTTGAACTGGATATCTGTTTGCAGGAGAACATGCACACTGCTTTAGTAATGTTAGGACAACCGGTATTGAAAGGTATTGATATTAAAGTTGCATGTATGACTCAGCAGCAAACGTTTGACAAATTACATTAAGTGGAAAAACATTTAGAACGTTCTTCATCCAAAAACCAAAAACCTTGAGGAGCATCATTATTATCACCAGCGCAAAAGTAGAATCACTTTTTGTCAAATTATTTTAAAAATTTAAATTCTAGGTTTACCTCAAGACTCRTATTTTGTAGCTGACAACAAAAACAGGAGATTTCAATAGTTGTGCACAAAGATGATCAAATCAGCAGAAATTGATACTGTTTATGAACACCAACTTCAAAATAGTTGAGAACTTTAATTCCAAATGTAATGATACAAATTTCTTATTAGAGCAGCCGAGCACCAAGATGTTAAGACAGCTCTTGTGTTTATGCCACCAATAAAAGCATATTGTTCCTATTCCCCCACCACCTGGCATCATCTCTGCAGCCATCCTCACCAGGATGCAGTTCTCTGATACCTTAATGAAATGTTAATTAAATGCCTATTAATGTGCGCTGACTCACAGGCCGAGTGTAATCAGGTGAAACAGACTTAATAAAACATCCAGTGTGTTGCTCAGGAGAAAAAGGAAGGAGTCCCTTGAGAAAGACAGACAGATGGTGGCAGGAATCGCCACAGAGGACAAAGCAGAGTGGATGAAGCAAAGACCAGCCACCACTTTAGTGATTAGGTCCAAATTGGTAATTGGATCTGGCCCCCTCCACCTACTCATTATTGATAAGGCTGACCATATTTGACCATATTTAACTCTCACTGCTTCAGACTGACACCACAGCCCTTCCTGTCAGCCCACGCTGCACTGTATCCAGTAGATCTGACAGGAAGTTTACCTTCAGGTGGAGTAGAAAAGGTGGGGTGGAGTGGGTACATATTGTCAGCACATGCACAGTGGAAATCCCATCTGCCAGGAATTTCTCTAATCTCATCTACTGAACTGAGCAAAGGAGAACAGAGCAGCAATCACTTTAGACAAACCCTCTGTGGGATTATGGGTCGTATTTGTGATGATGGGTCAGATGAGGACATCAAAGGCAGCGTGAGCTGACGGAGCACAGCTTTTTGGCTTAGTTTTACATATACATATAAAAGGTTTCCTCTTGTTAATGAATTGTTTGAAAATCCTCATTGCTTTAAAAATAAATGCTCAAAAACTATGAATATTTTTAAGATATATTGAGTTGTTTTTTTATAGAACTGTGTCAAGATAAGCTGCTCATCTTTATTCCACACCTGAATTTCTTTCATCTTGTTGCATTTTATTCAACTGTCTTTATAAGTAGAGGACATTCTTTTGTTACATAACAGTCTGAATAAATGTAGTAAAATGTTTAGTTTCTCCTTGGAGAGTGGAATTTTTGCTAAAATTCTGATTTTGACCTTTTAGTTTTACACATGTTGATGTTACGTTAAAGAAGCAGAGCATCATAATGTTGTTTGGTTTTCTTTAACACTTAATTTGTTTGTGGAAAAAATCTGAATGGTTATATCATGAAAACTTTAGAAATGTCTTAGKTTTTGTCATGTTTTGCTTTCAAAAAGACACTTGTTTTAAGTAGTTTTACAGCCTTTTGAAGTTCTTCTTATAAAGTTGCTTTTCGAAATTTCGCAACTTTTTAAAGTTTGTTTTTTTTTGACCATAATTTTTTGTGCCTAAAAATGAGGAAAATGGAAAAGAGCAAGAAAAGTGGTCAGGCCTAAAAACCGGTTTGCAGCAGATGATGTGCTTCTGAACGTTCTTAAGAAAAACTAAACAGATAACTTTTATGCGCATCGTAATTTGGAAATCTCCTTGTGGCTCCTAAAATACAATTTTGTGCATCAAACTGTGGTGTTTTTTCTAGTGATCATTTTACAGATACTAATACGCCAATACCAAAAATACATTCATAACCATTTTTTATATTTAGGGTCAGAATTCAGCTGTAGTTTCATTCTGATTTTCTGTTGGTTTTTAAATTCGGTGACATCTATGTTGTAAAAGTGAATTGAAACAAATGTCAGGAAACATCACTCTAGTACATAAGCCCACAAGTGACGGAAACTGTTGGGTCAACATTTAAGGTGTTTATCAGGAGCAGAGGTTGTGATTTATTGCTGGCGTACATTGTGAACTACAACAGGTATGGTCTAGTTAAAAACAGCAGACCTGACGCTGCCCTCTAGCTTTTCTTTGTGGGATTTACAGGATTGTGAATCTGGTGCTAGCTGCCACAGAGATCCACACCAGCACTCTCTTAAATAAACACAACAAAGTCTATTGTCTTCCACCTTGTGAGCCCTTATTGCCCCCCTGTCACCCGCTCTGTTCTGGGGGTTACAAGCCATGAATGAAGGGTGAGTCCTGGGAGGGTCTGCTCTCCTGCTCCCTGCAGTGGATCCACTCGAGCTGACTCGGTGCTTCTGAGAGCTCGCAAGGAGAGATGGATGAGYTTTTGGGTACTTCGCTTGCGACGTGTCACCTTTTGATTGATGAGTTAACGCACTGCATCCAGCTCCAAAGGTCGCACCAGTCAAAAGACCACCATACTGTCCCGAGGAAGCCTCGTGTTAAACAAGACAAAGAGCAGACGTTTAGCAGATGTTAGAAAGTGACTGTGTGGGAGAGCAGACTTCATCTTTCCTATTTGAGCCTTTAAAGGTGWTTCAAAGCAGTTCAATAACTGGGACAAATGGGTAATTAAAGCCCTCATGGGACAGAGAGAGCTTGTTTTAAAATGAGACTKSTTTCACTTTTTWMATTTACTGTTTCATACATCTATCTACTTTAAAATAACATGGCATCTGTTGGTTTCTTCTCCTTTTGCAGAGACCGATGTACGTCTCTTTAGTCAGCAAGGCCGTCTTGTGGAACAGAGGAGTGAGCCACGATGCTGTAAGTAATAAAACTGCTGCTATTGTTTCACTTTAACACKCAGGCTTTTTGTTACAAATCTGTTTCAGATTGCATTTTATGAAGTTTTGTGTGACTTTGTGAATATATGTGCTGTTAATGTGTCCTTGGTCTGTTTTGTGGAATCTGTATTTCATCACTAAAAGTGCAGCTCGTACAGTTAACACCTTCCTTATTTCCTCTGTTTGAACCATAAACTTGGASTAAAAGGTCTTGTGTTCAAAGAATGATGGAAACAAAGAGAATACATGAGTCATGCACCAGTGAGACCAGGTCAGGGGTCTCCCACAGATCAAAGCTCAGCTTGGCAGCCGTTAGAAAAACAGTAAATGTTCACACTCCTGTTTGTTTCTTAGTTATCAATCTAGAGAAATGTTGAACACCAGGTAGTGATAACTGGTAAGTAACACAGGAGATATTCAAGAGTCATCTTGAAAGCAGGTTGAGTTCTATTTCTGAAATATATCAGGGATTTTGTGAACTTTTCTCACTTATTTTTAGTTTTGTTTGGTGAATCAACACCAAGCATTGTTTTTTTTTTGTGTGTTTTTCTAAGAAAAATGTTGAAATTTTAGAACATACCTGGGACTTTTGATTTGCAGTTTAGATATAAAGTTGGTCTTAATTTTGTTCTTCATTATATCTGTTATTCATCCAAAACCTTTAGACTGAACTTGTTCAATCCACATTGTAAACTTATGACAGTGTCAACATCATCAATAAATGGCACTCACCACTACATCTTTATCTACTAACAAMTCTTGAACACCATCAGGATGCACCATAATCCATGGGCTAGTATGGGTCACCATGCATCATGATGGGTGATGGGTTTCCCTTTTGACCACACCTTATTTCCATTGTGATGCTTAAAGTTTGGGGTACAGGAAACTTTGCCAATAACTTTGCTATAAACTAAGCTGTTGAAATGTTATAAACAAGAAATAGTTTTTCTATTTAAATTACCTTTTATTAAATAAATATGCATGTGATGATGTCATCAAGTCACAACCCCTSCAGAAGATAAAAGTTTTCATCTTCATCTACAACGGAGTATTAGGGCCATACAATGAGATTTTCATAAAGAGGCAATATTATGTGTTTCTCAGGCATATATTTAAATTCTATACCATAATAAAGTATCTATGTCAGGCTTAGTTGTTATTAAAATGCTGTTTTTATGTTTAAATAGAAAATAAACATCTTCTCATCACTTCCTCTTCTAAACGCCTTGAAATTGGCCTCTGTGTCTTTAAGAACCACCTTCCGCTTCTGTCCCATCCATTTCAGTGCGGGGGTGGGAGGTTCGCATGTGTGCTATGATGCAGTTTAATTGGCATCTGAAAATACATTTCCTCAAAGGTATTTTGAATCTGAAAAGTACGGAGCCCGCGAGGGGACATGGAGAATTTTTTTTGTTTGTTTTTTTTTTGTTTGTTTTGCGTTCCCATGCAAAAGTATTGCGTTACCTCGCAATACCTTTTGCATTCCCTCGCAAAAGTCATTTAAAACTGTTGTACCTGCCGGTTTATTAAGAAATTCACCTGATCACCATTGGTGAGTTAGCCTACTACTTTAATTCAGCTTCAGAATGAATATATCACACAGCCAGGAAGTATATGTTGATATTTTAACACAGTGCAGCCACGCAACATTAATGTCAGTTTCACGAACTTGTGGTRAGACATCCTTTTTCATAACTGGATATTTCAAAATAAAAGTCTGATTAAATTCAGTTCATATACAAAAAAATGTTTGCGTGGGAACGCAAAACAATATTGTGAGGTAACGCAAAAATATTGCGAGGGAACTCAAAGGTATTGTGAGGTAACACAAAGGTATTGTGAGGTAACGCAAAAGTAGGGAACTCAAAGGTGTTGTGAGGTAACGCAAAAGTATTGCAAGGGAATGCAAAGGTATTGTGAGGTAACACAAAGGTATTGTG